ACCGGCCTTGAAGCTGAGCTCGTCCTGCTCCTGGCCGTCGTAGTCGTACAGCGCCCGCACACGCACTCCCTTGGCTTCGTCCTCGAAAGGGTTGGCGCCCCCGTTGGCCTCATTGCCCCCAAATGTGTTCCCGCTGTCGTCGTCTGACCACTCGGTGGTATAAGGCTGGCCCCTGTCGTAGCTGCTAACGCTGAGCAGCAGAGAGGGCCCCGCATGAACCGCCTCTGCCCCGTCCCCCGGCTGCCCCGCTGCCCCGCCGCAGCGCGGGCGTGGCCGAGGCTGGAGCAGGCGGGGCCTTGGAAGTGGTCCCGAGCCAGTGACCCTGACAGCTCTTTAAACAGATGTGACACAAGACTATTTGCATTATTGCTCAGCCTTAGAGAGGGGCTGCTGACGGGGACCCCAGAGAGCACTTGACTCCTCATCTGAGTACAATCTAGTGGTGAAGGGTGATCTTTCTGGAGCCAGATTCGGGCATCACATCCTGGCTCTGAGGCTTACTACCCAGCTGCATGACCTTCTGCAATCACTTAACCCCTCTGGGTATCAGCTTCTCCATCTAAAAAATGGAGCATATTTACACACTGGGGAATATTTACACACTTCTCAGATTGTTGAAGGCATCAGTGAGTTAATATATGAAAATGTTTGGAACAGTGCCTGGCACAGTAGGTGCTCTCAAAGGATTAGCTATCACTATCTTTGAAAGGAATACGAGGTTGCTGTGTTTCAGACCATTCTTGTCTCTTAAGGTAAACCTCGAGACTCCTGGCCTCTAGGAAGCTCCACAGGAGGCACTCACCTGCCACGGTCCCCAGCCTGGGATGTGGACTCCACCACCCCAGTGGCATTGGTCAGCGGTGCCCCCTCTGCCTTCTTAGGCTGTTTCTCCTTCTTGGTGGCAGTGTGAGGGAGGTCTGGGTTCCACTCCTGGTGGGCACCAAGGGAGCAGTCAGGCTCGGGAATGTTCCCTGAGGCCCCTTCCAGCCTTTTCAAACTCCTCTTCCCCATCCCCACACATCCTTACCTCAAACTGGGGCCAATTCATGGGCATGCCAGGGCCGCTGGTGCTGCGGAACCATTTGAGGTCGTCCTGGGCATCGGCCCCCCGGATGGCCTGCTCCAGTTCCCGGTACACTTGGACATAGCTGTGCACAGGGGAGACGGGGAGGTGGAGGGCAAGATGCACACGGCCCCTTCTCCTCGGTGAGGGCAGGAGCCCATTCAGGGGACCAGGGTGCTGGAGTGGCCCCCAGCTAGAAATCAGGCAGGCTTTCCAAGGAGCAATCTCCGTGCGGGCACGCCCAGTGGACACCCCGCACGGTCGCCGCCTTAGTCACACCCATCCATCCAAGCACATTTCTGGAGTACTTAGTGTGCATCGGCTTGCAGCAGCAGCCACTGTGTCTGGAGCTGCTTCTCTCTTGGCCCCTGCAGCTCAGCCCTCCCCTTCCTGTCACTAACATGGGGGGATGCGTGGCACACCAGCTCTACCCTCTGCTGCCTGTGCTTGAGCCCACCATGCTGCCACACCCCACTACCTGCTATTCTCAGCTAGGTTCAGGTGACGTTTGATGTCCAGCAGCACCTCCTTGAGGAAGACCAGCCGCTTTTCCTCAAACTGCTGGCACTGCTCAAACACCTGCTCCATGCCCTCCATGTACTGGGGCGTGGTCTTGCCCACTTCATCCAGCACCTTCTCATACTTCTCCTGTGTCTGTAGGCACCAGGAGGAAGGGAGGGTGAGACCCAGGCGTGCAGCTGCCAGCCACCGCCCACTCCAAGAGGCCCTGAGCCCAGCCTGGCTGGCACCTTCTGCACATCCTGCTTGCACTTGTCCACTTTGTCCTGAAGCTTCTTCTGCTGCTCGGGTGTGACTGACTGCTCGGTCTTGCTATTCATCTCCCGCGTCACAGCCAGCTTCTCCTCTTTGCAGGCCAGATGGTAGGCCTTCTTGGCTGCCTCGAGCTGTGGGGAGTGGGAACAGGGGGCAGGCCTCCTACTTGTGAGCAGGAGCAAATGTGGTCACCTGTCAAGCCCTCCCACCTGCCCACTCTGCAGGAGCTGTGAGCACACAGTCTTAAGAGGCAGAAGGGATGCAGGCCCTGGCTCCAGGTATTTGGGAGCAACGCCCACCCATTTGTGGAGGTCTCCCTGCTCGGCACTGCCAGCTGGAGAGCACTGCAGTACCTGCCCGGCCTGTGGATACTTCTTTCTGGAAGGCAGTCCTGCTCCCCCGTGGCACAGCCCCAGCGAGCAGTGCACCGCCACTCCATCTGCAGACACCCTCCCTCTGATCGGAGCGCCCTCTGAGCTCAGCTGCCCGCCCTCCCCCATTGCAGCCACCGCCCACCGGGCACCTCCTTCATCTTCTTGGCCCAGGGCTTCTGGGCCTTGCGGAAGCCATCTTCAGCCTCCTTGGTCTCCTTGAAGCCACCCATGATCTGCTTGTGATAGGCGTCCTTCTGCCAGTTCTTGACCTTCTCCAGGTCCTCGTTCAGTAGGCTGTTCTTCACCTCCTGGTGCAGTTCGCTCACCTTGTCCGCCTCCGTCATGATGGCGCCCCAGGCCCGCTCCAGGCTGCCATACTGTGGGCCTGAGGAAATGGCCGTGGGGTCACAAGGCCTTCCTGACCCCTGCCTAGAGGCCCCCCCTATACCTCTTTTCTCTGCGGCTTCCCCATGCATCCCAGAGCAGCAGGGCCTCTATTCTCCCTACGGCTCTCTTCATCCCGCAGGGCCAAGCACAGCCCCCGCTCTGTCATATGCCTCAGCCCGCAGCCCTCACTGACTCTTCTCCACATCTGCCTCTGTGCCTGCTCCCTACCTCCCCTCAGCTCTGAGCTCTCACAAGCCCAGCACGGCACCAGGCACACAGTAGGTGCTGTAGGAATGTAGGCTGAATGCGAACTGAAGAACCAACTGGTAACAGATACCAGGAGGCCACTGGGACTACACACCCCCACAGCCTGTTTCACTGAGTACTGGCACCAACTCTGTGCCAGGCACTGTGCTGGGCAGTAGAGGCCCAGCCCTTGCCCTTGTGGGATTTAGAGTCTAGTGGAAGAGAAAACATTAACTAATATATGTAAACTTCAACTTGAAACTTCTAGATTAAAGTAATCTGGAGACATGACAACTAAATGCAATATTTGATTCTGGACTGGATCCCAGACCAGCAAACAATTGCTATAATAAAGTTTGCATATGGGCCATATTAAATGTCCTAAAGATGATAGTTGAACTCTGGTTACATAAGTAAATGTCCCTATTCTTAGGAGATACATGAAGAATTTAGGGTGAAGGGACATGTCTCCATCTTAAATGTTTCAAAAAATATGCATATAAATAGGGATAAAACAAATGGGTAAAATGTTAGCTGGTGAATCTGGGTGCAGCTCTGTACTATTCCTGCAACATTTCTCGGAGTTAAAATTATTTCAGAATAAAAAGTCTGGGGTCTTGTTTGTTTTTTAAATCCAATCTAAAATTGTACAAAGTGGAGCTGAAGTACAGGGAGGCCTGGCTTGGTCTGGGAGGGGAGGAGTGCAGGTGTGGGGACAGTTTCTGCAAAGGCCCTGTACTGGAGGCTGCAGGGGTACCCAGATGGCTGGGTGCTCCCAGGACTCAGTGGGGTTAGGGCCTGGGGTGTGCGCAGGGGCGGGCGCGGGCGCGGGGCACCTTTCTCGATGAGCTGGCGCCAGCGCTTGGCCCAGTCGGTGAGCTGCTGCGCGTAGGCCTTCTCGATCTTGGCACGCTCCTGCACGCAGTTCATCAGGTCGTTGCACAGGCGGTGCCCGTCATCGATGCGCTTCACTGTCCGCTTGTAGTTCCCCACCTGGCGGCCAAGCAGCGCGCATGACTCCCGCCCCGCCTGCTCCGGCTGCCGTGCCCCGCAGGGGGCGCCTGCCGCCGCCACCACCATCCTGGTGCGCCTCCAAGCCCTCTGATTTTCCAAGGACTTGGCACCCCGCGTCATACCCGTCTATACACTGCTTCATCACACTTTAAACATAATTTCGTTGCTGCCACAAAATGCAGGTTTTTTTATAATTTGGACTTGGGCCAAATGAATTATTCATTTTGTTCTCGTGAGCTAAATCTATTATATTTATATAGAGTCATAAGCATCGAGTTGAGCTCCAACTTCTTGACATAATATTATGTTTTGTAGACATCTCATTAAACACTTATTAATTTAGGTTTGGCAGTTTTCACTTTGGGTTTCATAAGCCAATAGAAAATTTTTTTCTGGGTTTCAAATATTTTGGGAGGCTCTGAAATACTGGCCTGTCTCCACCTCTATGTTGCTGTGCGGCTCACCGAACTCACTCCATTTCCCTGGGACCAGTGCTCACTTCCAGGGTAGGGGCAGGGAGCTGCTGCGAAAGGCTCTGTAAGCTGTAAAGTGCTGCTCCTGCCCGAGTAAAGTGCCAGGATTCTGGGCCAGGGTCCCCCAAAGCAGAGGGTCGGGAGGGGCCTGTTCTACAGCATGAAATACTATGGGATGTCTCCAGGGGCAGCTGCAGGGCAGAGGCTCTGGGCTCCGTGGGTGGTAGTAGCCTGTTGGACATGGAAGGCTTTGGAGGGGCCTGAGGGGCTGGTGAGCCTGAGGTCATGAGGTGGGTTGGAGCCTGGGCCTCCACATAGCCAAGCTGTCTGGTCCCTAGGACCTGGGGACTATCAGGGCCTCACCTCCCAGAAGCTGTCAGTTGTCTCCTCTGGAGCTAGGGAGGCCTCATCATAGGAGCCGGACATGGTGTGGCCGCGGGAGGATGGACAGGCGCGGAGAGGTGGTCAGCAGGCTGGGCTGCTCATGCGCTGGAGAGCAGGAGAGAGAGCCCTGGCGATGAAGGACATAGCTGACATTCCCCCTCCAGGCCTGGGCCCCAACTTGTGGGGATGAGGGCCCCACAGGCATAACAAGCCTTGCAGCGGAATGGGGACCTTCCTGCCCCGGGACTGGCTCACCATCTCAAGGGTAACCCCAAGAGTCTCCCTGCAGCACCCCTCGTGCCCATCTCCCATCTCTCCTCCATGAGCCCTTCTCCATCTCCTTTCCTTCCCCTCTCCTCCAAATCCATCCAGCTCCAGTGTGGGCACTCTTCCTAGAAGCCTGCCCCAGCCACCAAAACCATGGTGCCTGCCGCTGTTTTGTGTTCCTAGTCTCGGAGCTAAAAGTTAGTGTCAATAATTGCACATTTGCTTTATATAAATCTGCCGTTTGAGCCTGGCCGGTGTGGCTCAGCAGTTGAGCATGGACCCATGAACCAGGAGGTCACAGTTTGATTCCCAGTCAGGGCACCTGCCTGGGTTTCTGGATTGATCCCCAGTAGGGGGCATGCAGGAGGCAGCCAAGCAATGACTCTCATCACTGATGTTTCTACCTCTCTCTCCCTCTCCCTTCCTCTCTCTGTAATCAATAAAAACATATTAAAATAAATAAAAATCTCTAGTTTGCTTCATAGACACACAGGTCTTCAAAGTCAGCAATCAGGCTTATCTTGTGCATGTTCTGCACCACCCCTCACCAGGGCCTGACACCCTGTAGGGCCCACTAGAGCTCAAACCCCAGCTGGCTTCTCAATCTGCCCCTCTCAGCACTGCCCACCCTGACCCAGCCAGATCCTTGCACCAGGCCCAAAACATCCACCTAAGTTCCCCACCCCCGCTCCACACAGAGCCCCTGGTCTCAGCCCCAAAGTCCTCCCCAAACCCCCACCTAGAGACCCCTGGGAAATTGGCTGTAGGTCCCCTCCTACCTCCCGTCCAGGCTGAGCTCGTCCTCAGTTTCCTGAGCTGCTGGGCCCTTCTGGCTGCCCTGTGCCTAGCCTCAAAGGCTTCAATTAGCTGCATGCATGTCCCTGAGTCCCAGACATGCAGCTTCCTGGTCCACAGGTCAGACCGCTGCCATCTGCGTGAGCGTCAGGCAGCTGTGTGTGGCCTGGAACTGTCGGCTGGCATCATGGCTGTCCAATCTAGGCCATGGGCTGCCCCAGGGCTGGGGCAGGCGCTGCTCTGTTCCCATCCCCCACCCATGCCTCGCTGCCACCCCAGGCAAGAATGGCTCAATCGAATGGCTGGCTCAGTTGTCAGGAGACTGGACCCAGAGGGCCGGGGGCCTGGTCTTCGAAGGGGCAGCAAGGCCAAGCCAGGCCGGATCCCACTACCAGCTGACAGCCTCAGGCCAGGGTCACCTCCCTGACTCTGCACTGTAACCTCAGGGACTGTGAACCCTGACAATGAAAACACCTGGGAGAGTGCTGGCCTCTGCAAGATTCAGCGCAACCTGGGGGTCCAAGGGCTGGTGCACCAACACATGAGGACCCTGGGTCAAGGATGCCCTTACCCCCTCTGGCCTCAGTCTCCCTATCTGTCCAGGGGCTAGTGCTCTTTTCCCAGTCATAACCAGTGTTGCCTCCTTGCATCTCTCAGGCACTAGATATATTTTGTTCTTTTCCCTTTAGCAAGAATTCACTTTCCCACAAATTCATGCACAGTGGGGGTGGGAGAGAGGGCAGCTGGAATTCATCAAGGGACAAAGAAATGAGTCTGAATTTTTTTTTTTTAATTTGGCACTTTTCACTTATAAAGCAGTACTTGCTTCATGAAGAAAAATTTGAATTTGATATGAGAAGTAAAAGGCAGGGATATTTGATGAAGGGTGTCCGCCAGGTTAGGCAGGTATCCCTGGGGCCAGAGCCCTCCAGAACCCTTGAAGTCACATAGAACTTGGGGATCCCACAGTGTGTGGCTGTTGGGGCACTCCCTCACGGAGTGAAGGTCAGTAGTGGGTAGTGACTTGACACAAGCTTGGTGTCCTCTCTCACAGTCACAGAGGTGCACATCCCTCACCCAGCAGCACCCTGTGGTCCCAGGAATCCCCCTTCCAGCCAGTGGGCAAACCGCTGCCTCCCGATCTGATTTACTGCAGCACTGCTCAGAAAAGCCAAAGGCCCACACAACCCAGATGCACGTTCAGGGCTGGTTGAGTGAGTGGCAACGCAGGCCTGCAGTGGGATGCTCTGTCCAGGAGGCACCTCCCCAAGCCATGTCACTCAAGCCAAACGAACAAGGTGCAGAACAGCATGGCTGCGGATGCTCCAGGTTGGAGGGGGTGGAAATACATAAGCTGGAATATTTTTGGAAAACTGGTAAAACTGGGTGGCTGGGGGATGGGGTGGGAGATTTTCCACTGGGGCTCTTTTACGCCTTTTAAATTCTGCCTTGTGTGCATAAATTGCATATTTTTTTAAACACTCCAGCCTGTGCTGGAGGAGAGCAGAGGGAGCTGGGAGCCAGGACTAAGGGTGCATGGAGGTGGGGACAATGCAGGCTAGAAGGAATGCATGATGTCAGAGACCTCTCCACCTTAGCCTGACCCAGGGAGGGGCCCCTTCCTCGGTGTAGGAAGGTGATGGGTCTCCCTGGCTCCCAGCTGAGGTAGCATGTGTAGTAGAAATAGTTCTAGCCTTGGAGTCCCTGCTCTGCCACCAAACGGCTGTGTGTTGAGCAATTCATGTGGCCTTGCTGGGTCCTGCAAAGAAATGAGGATGACCCAGCCCAACTTAAGGATTAGACAAGTCTCCACCCTGGGCTGGCCCTGCAGAGGAGGCTCGGGAAGACTGGCAGCAGGACCGCGGAGGGGGTCTGGGAGGGGGCATGGGAGTCCACAGCACCATGTGGCCAGACACACCATCCCACCTTCCCCCTGCCTCACAGCCCCATGGGGCAGGTGGGAGGCTTAACTCTTACCAGATGCCATGTCCTTCCTGAGGGGCAATGGCAACTGCCATCACTGAAAAGCCGTATCTCAGTCAGGAAGCCGGAGTGGCCAGCACCCGCCACTCCCCGTGGGCAAGCCCGGTGCACTCTTAGCTTTCCTCAGCCCATCAAATGGACACGATGCCCATCTGACTTTGTGGCCCTGCAAGCCCTGTATCATTAGTAACCACAGCTAACATTTACGGAGCACATATGTGGTGCCAAGGACAGGTCACAGGTCTTAACCTATCGAATCCTCACAACACCCTGTAAGCAGGCGCAATTCACACTCCACATGGCAGACGAGAGCCCAGGGGCCGAGGGGTGACTGTGAAAGTGCTCAACAGCTCTCACTATTGATTTGTCACCACTGCTGTGACAGTGGGGTGGCAGTCCCATTTCAGCCTGGGCACTCTCTGTGTGGAGCAAGGGAAGATTTCAGGCCTTTCTCACCCTCAGCCTGCAGAACAAGGGGTGTGGGCTCTGGCTCTCGCTCTGCCACCTGCCAGTGAGAGCTTGGCCAAGTCCCTTAGGGGGTCTCAGTTTTCTAACTCATATGATGGAAAACAATACTTGAGTCTGTTTTGAAGATCAAATGATAAAAGTGTAGTTAGCTCTTTTTGAAAAACACAGAACACTGGAAATGTGAGGTTTGCAGGCAGCCTGGGCCTTTCCTCCAGGGAGAAATGAGTCCCAGGGTGAGAGTGCTCCTCTCAGGCCCAGGCTTACTACCAGCTGCCTCTGAAGGACCCCGGAGGGCAGGGCCTTGGTGTGTCTACCAAGAATGGACAGAGGAATTGAGGGCAGGAGCCCACAGAGGGCAGGCCTGGCATGGACAGACTGTGTGGACTCCCCCGTCATGAGTCACTAACAACCACAGCTCTTCTTTCTCTTCCCACTCGCACACCCAGCCCACCAGCAGGTCCAGAGCAGACCCCTCGCCTCCCTGCAGCAGCCTCTTCACTGCTTTTCTTGGCGTCTGACATTGTCTCTCACTCCCTCTCCCCAGTCCCCAAACACAGCAGCCAGAGGGAAACTGGTAAAACCTGTCAGATCCCACCACTGCCCCACTGAGAATTCTCCAGAAACCCCCATTTCCTCTGAGTAAAATCCCAATTCCTTGGCAGGAGGCCCTGCATAACCTGCTGGCCCACCCCTCACCTCTCTGCTCTCACCTCCTACCACTCTCACTAGCCTCCAGTTCCACTGACTTCCTTGCTGTTCTAACCCCAGGGCCTTTGCACCTGCTAGGAATATTCAGAGCTGCCCCCCACCCCCGCGCAGACTTCCTGGTCTGCTAAAATATCATTACCTCCCCCCACTTAAACTTGCAACACTGTTTCCACCCCCAGCACCCTCACCCCTTCTCTCTTCCTCACTTTATCACCCTCTCGCAGGCTGTCAACACTAGAGCACTCATATGTTTAGTGTCTTCCTCTCCCACTAGAATGTCAACTCTAAGGTCAGTGGTTTAGCCTGTCTGGTTCTCTGCTATATTACTAGCATCCAGAGCAGTGCCTGAAACAGTAAGTGCACGATCATTTTTGTTCAATGAATGAGTAAGTGCCAAAAACCTTCTGGAACATTCATTCATTTAATAGCAGGAGCACTGAATTCTGCACCCCAGAGCCCAACAGTCACCTGCATATAGTTGGCATTTAATAAATGTTGGTAATGATGGTGACACAACCAAGAGCCAGAATCCCACAAGAGGGGGGCGTCCCAGATCCCACCCGTCCTGTTTCCAGGCCCCCTGCTTCTCTCGGCATCCCCTTCCCTACCTCTTGGTCAACCGTCGGGGTCCGGTTCCAGGGTGTCTTTCTTGCTGATTCTCCAGGACGATTCTGCCCTCAGGCTGTGGTCCCCTCCTCAGGGATCCTGCGGCACACAGACAGAATAGGTACCAACAGCCTCGGCCGTCATGTTACCCGCTCTTCACACTCCCTTTGGAGCAGGGTGGGGAACCTTCTTTCTGCCAAGGGCCATTTGGGTATTTATAACATCATTCGCCAGCCATACAAAATTATCAACTTAAAAATTAGCTATGAAAAAAGCTCCTAGATTTATAGAATTTCGAGTCCCGCCTGTGGCTGCCTTGGCAGGGCCCGACCAAATGATTCCGCGGGCTGTATACGGCGGCAGGCTGGACACTCCCCACCCCTGCTTTAGAGCAACTACGATCACCATTTTTGAGGGCCTGCTATGCTCCAGCCTCTTCATACACTTTATTTCTAATCCTCACAGCAACCCATTAAGATAGGTGTAGATTTCCCCATTCTCTCTGAGACTCAGAGAGGTTAAATAACTTGTCCAAAGTCACTCAGCAGGGAGGAGATAGAGTCAGATCCAGACCCAGGGTAAGTCCTTCCCTTAGCCCTCCCTCCCAGTGTCCAGTCCAGAGCCAGCACTCCATGGATGTCACTCAGTCTTCTGGCCTAAGGCACCACCAGCTCAGCTCAAACCGGGGCAGGGCCATGGGAAGCCAGAGCTGGGTCTCAGGCCCCACAAACATTCCCAGCAGCTCCCCGATCCTCACCTCACCCAGAGATGGACGGGCTCACCGCACATGACTTGGGGCTACACAAGGACTCTTACCAGCCTCTGCTGGGGCTTCAGATGCAGCAAGAAGGGTCCAGGTTAGGTGCGAGGTGCTACCTTCCAAGCCCCCGTGACCCCATGTTCACCCAGCTTCTGCTCCCTTGCTTTTGTCGCCCCTCCTGCCTGAGGTGCACTCAGCTCTCCCCAAAAGAACTGCTTCCCTTCAAGAGCCAGCTCAGTGCTTGAATACCCCAGCCCTCACCTCCCTCACCCCTTCCCGCTGGTGCAGCTCCTAGTCACACCCTGCCATAAACCAGGCCTTGCTGGTTCCAGGCGGCAACCTGCTCCCCCAACAAGCCAGGATCTCCCACCAGACTATCACTCCGAGTAGAGTAGAGAGCAGCGGCCCTGGGCCAGGCAGATGACCAGGTTCAAACCCCAGCTTTGCCACTGACTGGCTGTGTGACTTTGGCAAGTTGTTTAAACTCTGTGTGTCTGTTTCACCTGCAAATAGAGGTGATGATACCGCCCCATGGGGTTGGTGTGAGAAGGAAATGAGAACCTGTTGCTCAGGAAGCACTGTTTTAACCACCACCATCACCATCATTATAGGTATCATCACCCAGGCTTCTCACAGCTGCAGAGCTTCTCAAAGCAGGAGACGCGCATCTTTGTGGATGACCTCACACTCCACCTCCCCTCTGTGCCTAACACAGACCTCTGTTGTGGACTGAACTGTGTCCCCCAAATCCATATGTGATGCCCTCCCAATGTGACTGTATTTGGACTTTTAGAAGGCAATTAAGGTCAAATAAGGGTGAGGTCCTAATCCAATGGGATCGGTGTCCTTATCAGAAGAGGAGACGCAATCTCTCCCCAGGCGCATGCACTGAGGTAAGGCCACATCTGGACACAGAGGCTGGCCACCTGCAAGCCAGGAAGGGAAGCCTTTCCAGGAGCCCAACAGGCTGCCACCATGACCCTGGACTTCCAGCCTCCAGAGAAGTGAGAAATAAACTTCTATTGTTTAAGCCGCACAGTCCATGGTATTTTGTTCTGGCAGCCCAAGCTGACCAAGACACCCTTCCATGACTATTGGGCCTCACCTGAGACCCCCAGGTCTCCAGGTCTCCTATGAAAAAGATCCCAGGCCTGGCTTCCTCTTGCCTTCTGTTTGGGTCTAAACATCAGGCCCCCAACCTCCATCTGCTTTGAGGCGAGGTCCCCGGACAGTGCCTAAGGGGCCCTGCCTTCAGAAATGATGTATCTCGAGTGGGGTAGAAACACAAATGGGGGCACAGAGGGAGGCAGAGCCAGGTCTCACCCAGAGAGGCCCTGGCAGAGGGGACCAGGTGGTCTCATCCCAGCCGGGAAGGGTTTAAAGGCACACCACCTTAGCCCCTGGCTGGCCTCGCCCCTGCTCCCTGACCATTCCCTGGCCTCTGACCCTCGGTCCCTTGCCATCCCTACCCTCCTCCTTCCTCCTCCAGCCCCACTAGGCCCCAGACCGTCTCTCTCTCTCTTCTCCGAAAAATCACCAAAGGCAGCTCCGCACTCCCATTCTCAGGCCAAGTGGAGGAGGCAACATGTCTCCAGAGAGCCTCTGAGATGGCTCCTTAGGGAAGAGACGGGCCCTCCCCCCATGAGTGTACACTCCAGTGCAACAGAAAGCCAAGAAGTGAAAAAGTCTCACCTCATTAGGTGGTGACAGCAGTTAAGGGGACAATCAAGCAGGGAAAGCAGGTTCGGCCTCAAGCAATGATGGCAGAGTTGGTGTCTACACCCTCAGTTTCCCACCCTCCTGGCTCCCAGAGGTGCCCAGCGGGACTGAGCCCTAGCTGCCCACAGTGGGAACTGGCCCAACAAAGCACCCTCCATCTCACCTCCACAATCTCAATGTTTCCAGAGGCCGTCTCCCAGATGAACTGCCCCAGTCAGATCCCTGTCCTTGATCGGCTGCTGGGGGCACCCAAACCCAGACACCACAGAGGGGGAGGTGGGAGTGGGAGCCGTGGGAAGGCAGGCCTGTCCTCTCCAGCCCAGGTGCATCTCTCTCCCAAGATCAGTCATCTCGTACGTGGCTTTCTGCGGGGTCTGTCCTGTCCCGAGCCCTGTGTGTCTGTGGCCTCCTGGAGGGCACAGCGGGGTGGGTGCGCAGCAGCTTCCCTGAAGCACAGATCCCTGGGCTGGATTCCGACCAGGGAGGCACCCTCTGCCCTCAGCAGCACTGGGGAGGGACGCATGCGGCTCACTGCCCTCCCCTGTCCTGGCGGAGGCTGGAGCAAGAAGCACGGACCCAGGCCATGCAGGACTTCCTGCCCAACTCAATGCCCTGGGGCAACTGCCCAGCCAGAGGGGCAGGGGATGCCTCCCCTGTGATGCCCTAGTCCAGGCCCCCATTACAGCCACTGAGGCAGAGACTCCTGCCTTCAAACTGCACCTTCCGTCCTTCCCGTGCAGCTCTGGGCCACAGCGGTGAGCAAGACAGCAAACTCCCTGCCTCTGGGGCGCTGACATTCTGAGGGGCGAGACAGGCAAGGAACCAGACGAGTTGTTAGAAGGGGACAAGGGCTGTGGAGAAGAAAAAGGCAGAGAAGG